GGGGAGAAATTTGCTGAAACGCGCGACAAAATAGGGAGGAAAATTTTGTTCGTGTGTTGCGGGAAAATATTACCGGGATGAAAGTGCTTTGTGTGACGTAGTACTAGTACTACTAGTAAGAAGAAACAACCACAACCACTGCTAATAGTAGTAACTGTTGGTACAATAGTAGTACTATTTCTACTAGTAGTAGTAGTGATAGAGTTCAAACTACTACTATAGTATGTAAGAACCTGTGTTGTTGTCTTGTGAACAAGAAGAACAACAAGAACAACAACAGGAGGAGGGGTTTTTGCAGAAGAACTATTCCTACTTCTTGCTTCTTGCTGGTGGGAGATGGAGGTGCTTAAAATACAACTATGAGTTGTTGGTGCTGCTCTGAGGAGGGTAGCAGTATTCCTAGTAGCAGTATTACTATTCCTAGTAGCAGTATTACTATTCCTAGTAGCAGTATTACTAGTAGTAGTAATACAACGGAGTGCGTACGGTACGTAGTACGGACGCACAACCTACCCGGTCTCCCGTGTGTTTCGTCCGTCCCGCACCCGCTCGGGGGTACGTACCACAGACAGACTGTTTGTCTCGCGCTCGTCTCGTCTCGTTTACCACATTTTCACTTACTTTTTTCGTGAACCAGTAGACTCTGTACTAAGGGGTACGCACCACACACGCGGTACTCGTTCGGGAACCGTACGGGCCGTCCCGTTTCGCACGTTGTTTTCCCCGGGTTCCGTTCCGCCTCCCGCTGGTGCAGTGGAAGTGTTCGTAGCCCTGCATGTACTGCCTGTTTGCTGTTTGCACACTTGTGCTAGACTCGTTGCATCCGCCTCCCCCACCCACCGGAGTACGAATAGAATACCCAATACCGAAGACCAGTAGACAACATACTTCATTGTGGAATAACAACAGACCAAGATGGCTATCGTAAGTAGCAAAATGAAGAGCGGCGGTGTGTGTCGCTGGAAATGAGATGCTCAGGAGGAACGCAGCCTCCTCCAATGGAAGGATGTTTGGTGCAAGGGGACGTTTGCAAGTTTAGGGCATTAGGGCATGAGGGCATGGGGAATTAGGGACGGGACGCCTCTCGGAAGCACAAGCGAGCAAGCAAGCAATCAAACAAGCTAGCTAGCTAGCTTTCTGCTTTTTTGGTGCCGTGGGATGGAATCCGTAGGCAGCAGCTGAGAGCGGAAACCCATGCATGGTTTGGTGACGCGACCTTGGAAACAAACGCGGGGGAAGAACAAACGAACGGAACGAACGAACGAACAAACGAACGAGGGAKGGAGACCAACCAATCCACAAAAKGAAGGAAGAGCAAGCAGCGCCGCGGKGACCGTTCCCGAAGACCCGCGATGGTTGGTTGGTGGCTTGTTGGGTAGTTCACACCCACCGCGAGGCAGAGATGCGGCGGCCGGCTGGTTTGTTTCGCCTCGTTTCGCCCTGTTTCCCGTCGTCGGTTGCTACTCTCGCGCTCCAACCAAGGCTCCGATCCAAACCACGAACCGCGGCAGCCCCGCGCCCGAGACACCCTATACCGGAAGTCGTCCGGTTTCCGCCGCCCCGGCCCTCGTTCCCGTTCCCTCTTCTTGCAACGGGAGTTTCCGCCGCGTTGTCCCAGACCAAGAACCCACGCCACGCCACACCCTAAACCGCTCCGGTGGTTTCTGTCCAACGATGGTTGGTTGCCTGATGATTTTTTCTAACGCTCCTCTTTTGTTGTCTTGTCTGTTCCGCTCCGTTTCCAATTCCAATTCCAATTCCATCTCTATCTCCCGTTCCTCGACCACAGGGCAAGAACAAGAGATTGACCAAGTCCAAGAAGGGATCCCGTAAAAAGGCCGTCGACCCTTTCCTCAAGAAAGAATGGTACAAGCTGATCGCCCCCTCGATCTTTGCCCAGAAGGACTGCGGAAAGACCCTCATCACCAAGACCCAGGGAACCAAGATCGCCTCGGACTACCTTAAGGGCCGCGTGGTCGAGGTCTCCCTCGCCGACCTCCAGAAGAACGAGTCCCTCGCCTACCGCAAGATCAAGCTCTGCATCGAGGACGTCCAGGGGTACAACTGCCTGCTGAACTTCCACGGCATGGACATGACCCGCGACAAGCTCTGCTCCCTCATCCGAAAGAAGCAGACCATCATCGAGGCCAACGTCGACTGCCGCACAACGGACGGGTACACCGTCCGTCTCTTTTGCATCGCCTTTACGAGACCCCAGGACAACCAGATCTCGGCCACGTGCTACGCCAAGTCCGCCCAGTGCCGGGCGATCCGCGCCAAGATGGTCCAGACCATGACCGAGCTCGGAACCAAGGGAGACCTCAAGTCCCTGGTCAAGGAGCTCATTGCCTCGCCCATTGGAGACGAGATTGCCAAGAACTGCAGCTCCATCTTCCCCATCAAGGACTGCTACATCCGAAAGGTCAAGGTCCTCAAGAAGCCCAAGTTCGACGTTACCGAGCTGATGGAGTGGCACAATGCCGACGAGGTTGTCACGACGGGCGACGCCGGAACCGCCGTCGAGGCCCCCAAGGAGGAGGGACTCGCCGGATCCGGAGGACGCCTGTAAACGAACGGGTGAATCATCGTATCGAATACGAATAGCAGCATCGAAATCGAACCCAATCCCGAACCAGCAGCAGCCCGTTCCTCTATAAGCAAAATAAAAACAAAATTACCCCACCAGTAGTACTTTTTTGGTCTGGTTATGTCTCGTATCGTCGCGTGTCAAGATCACGTGTATTGAACGGAAGCTCTCGAAACCGTGTTAGTTCTACCATGCTGATAGTGAAATTGCCAAGAAAACTCGATACATTATATGAATTAAACTCGTGAACTAGTAGAAGATTGATGGATCGGCAAGGCCAGAACGATCCGTTCCGCCGTGTGTTGTCACTCTTCCGCCGAGCACTGCACTGCATTGCACTGCAAGGAACTGCTTTGCTTTGCTCTGCTCTGCAGCGCACCGGACCGCGCTACAGCTGCCCCTTGGCCCGGACGATTTCCCTCAGCACAAAGTGCTTCTTCTTCGAGATGCGCTGGGAGGGAACGATCAGGACCGTGTCTCCGTCGCTGGCGACCTCGTCCTCGTCGTGCGCCATGAACTTGCGGGTGTACCGGATCCGCTTGCGGTACTTGGGGTGGAGCCGGTAGCGATCGACGGCCACGTTCACCGTCTTTTGCATCTTGGTGGACACGACGGTCCCCACCAGGCTGCCCCTGGGCAGGCCCGCGTTCTTGTCGCGGACCGGCGGGGAGTGCATGAGGCCGTCGCCCCACGCAACGGTGGTGCCTGTGTCGTTGTTGTTGTTGTTCTCGTCTTCCAGGGCAATCGTGCTCGTGTCCATGAGCTCCTCGTTGGTCATGCCCTCGTACCGGGCGGCCAGCGCCGAAGGGTCCGTTTCCTCCGGGGGCGGGAAGTAGTAGCTCGTGTCCCCAAAGGATTTCGTAATGTCGAAGGGATCGTATCCGGCCGGTTCTGTGTTTGTTTCTGTTTTGGTTTCGGTTTCGTGCGGCGGCGGTTGTGCGCTCCCGAGATCTCCCCCGCCGCCGGCGGTCGAAAAGCAAGGGGTCCCGGCGCGGGGGAAACGGGGGGACCCCACGGAACGGCCGTTTCGGCCCGGCCGGGCGAGAACGCCGCTGCCGCCGCCGTGGTGGCGGTGGGTGCCGGAAGGACCGGGGCCTCGTTCCCGAACCAGGGCGCGGTGCACGGTGGAGATCGGCCGGAAGGCAATTGCGTTTGCGTTTGCACCGCCGCGGGCCACGCGGTTTGCCATTGCGTTGGCTCCACGGCTCGAGAGGGCACAGCGAAAACCCGCGTGGCGAGCAATCGTTCGGGTCGTGTTCATGATGATGATGCTGCTGCTGCTGTTATTGTGGTTGTTGTGGTTCTTCTTTTCTTTGGTCGGTGGATCGTCTGTGGTCTCTCTCCTACGAAACAGTTGGTGTTCGTTCTTTTTTGTTGGTGTTGTGTTGCGTTTGTGGGCGGATTTTGGCGCTAAATCAATCAACGGAAAGAACCGAATCGATGGCCCGCTCTGTTCTGGAAGGTGCTTGCAAGGCGTATGAATTCGATGCAATTGGAACTGGTGTACGTACGCGAATGAAGCAGAAGCAGAAGTAGAAGCAGAAACGGAAGCGGCGAGACCAGGACTCGATGGGGTGCGTAGTACAGTACGTATGGTGTTTGGAGTGCTCTCTTGATTGGATTGTTGCTTTGGATTTGTTGCTTTGGATTTGTTGGGTGCGATACGGTACCGTATTTACGATGCGGTACGTACGATACCGGTATGTTGACATGTCCGTCGTCCTTACTGTAGCTCACAAAACTCTGGCTCACGATTTCTCTTGGCTTGTGGAGGAGCGCTGGGGAAGGAAGGAATGTGAGCCTAAATCACGAATTAATAGTGAGTGAGTGGGCACCAGCCACAGCCGCACCATTGAAGCTAAGTCAGTCGCAACCAGCCAATGGTTTTTGACGGGACTGAACAAACCCGCTGATGTTTCGGGTTTCCGCTCTTTTGAGTACGGCACTACGGTAGGAGTTACTGTACGAAATACGTACCGTACTTTGTACTTGTAGTACGTACCGGTTATTGTAGTTTACAGCAAAGAATGAAAATACATACTTTTTCGTGCACGACTAAAATTTGAGTTAAAGTAAAACTTGGTATCGAAGTAGCGAGTCCCACGCGACTGAACCAGAACAACGCGCGCCGAGCGCGCGCAACGAAAGAATGAGTGGAGGAGGCTGCAGCTCCAGCTCCAGTACAGTAGTACTAGGAAGTATCCAGCAGCAGCAACAAGAGGTGCGCCTTGCAGCTCAGCAAGCTCAACAGCTCACTAAGTCTACTGCTGCTACTACCAGCAATGACCAAGATACAGAAGAAACAGTAGTAAGATAGTCTTAAGAGCGCTCTTAGTTAAGATTGGGGCCTTGCCTACCCTGGCACGCCCCCACTCCCTCACAGGATTACGCAACCCGTAGGACCCTAGGCTATGAGCAGTACAGCGGACCCTAATCCGTTGCGGTATGCAGATCTGTTCGCAGATCCAGCAGCCAATCCCTTTGGCGCTGATACGAGTCGACGACACAGCGCTTACGCAGGAGTCTATCAACGATTTGCCTCACAACCCAATCCCCTCTCGGCCAGCGAAGTGCTGGGGGAGGTCCTCAACCTCTTTGAAGCACAAGCGGTTGGCGGAGTGGGGATCTTCGTAAATGATGAGAGCTCAGTACCACGACTACGCGTTATACACGGGATAAGGAAGTATCCGGGGAACCTACTGACCCCCTCCCGAAACGCCAACAAATTCTTTGGCTACCTTGACAATGTAGTCTCAGGGAGAGGGGAGTTAGTACAAGTAACCACTAGCATGTTTACCCTCATACCCAACAGGCGACGAGTGTACACGCCTCTGCATCATCGACTGTTCCTAGAGGCCCATCCGGAACTGAGCTTTATCAGCCCTATCCCTGAGGGGGGAGGACCGGGTACCATTGAAGAACTCCAGTGCCGACACACCTTCTTTATCCCTTTCGAGCTGATGCCCCTGGTGCTCAGCAAGAGCCTCTCGCCACGCGAGGCCTACACCATCATACAACCATGGTTGGAGCACGAAGGCCTAGAAACTATTGCCGGGCCCCTACTGGATTCCCTACGAGTTGCCGGTACTAACGCCTCCACAGAAGATAACCAAACGGTTTGCGAAATAGCTGCAAATGAGCCCGGACCGCTATTCCGAGTAGATGCAGACCTCACGCTGTACATGGAGCAAAAGGTGTTACACCGCGATCTTAAAGGGCTGGTAGCGGTCCCCACACACGTGTTGGGGCCCGAGACCGCTGCACTCACGGCTGCGGTGTCCACACTCACCGATAACCAGCTGAGAGCGAACGAAGCCAATGAACGAAGACGAGCGGAAGAAGCTAAGCCCCCCTCTATCGGGGACGTCCTTGGGGACCTCAACGTCACGAGATTACAGTCCTTATGTTTAGTAACCTCCGCAGAGGAACTGCCCCAAATTTACCAAGGCTGGACACGTAAAAAGAAAGGGGAGAAACTCCATGCCCTCTTTCAAAGCCATGTAGACCAAGGGGCCCGTGAACTAGGCTTACAGCCCCCCTTTATAACCACTGCGGTAATAAAGGCCTTCCAAGCCTTCCGGTTCTTCGGAGTGGACGAATGCGATTTAGCGGATGGTATACTGCCGCTAGCCTTCACGCCACCAGGGGGGTCCCCCACTGCTAGGAAACAGCAGATGGAGGATGCGAAAGCGGCCCTTGCATACGATGCCATGGTTTCCACGGAAGGGAACTCGATCAACCTCAACGATGCCCTTACACTGGGAAAAGCCAAGTGTTACATCCCAGCCGATTGGACGGAAGCCTTGCTGCAGATCGAAGGGTACTTGCCGGTTTTGGGGACACTCGTAGGAGTCGACCATCCTATCGTACGGAACTATATCGATGGACTAGACCGGCTGAAGCGGATGCAACTACTCCTCCGGCATGCACTAGTCGACGAATGCGGTAGCAAGTTGGCGCCGGCAATCCTCGTGTATTACTTCCAGATACGAGTTCGTTGCTGGCTCGAGGAGCAGTGGTACAGCGATACAGTAGTGGAGCCACCGAGTTTTTCGCAGGAATTCCGCAACTTCAAGTTAAGTAGGAACCTTAGCTGGCTCCCTACAGTCTCCGACGTGCCCGTCCTCCAAAGCTTACGGAAGCAGACCACTAATAAACAGCTGGGCGGTGGCACCTCTGGAAAGACAGCGAGGGGAAGCACTACGGGCGGAGGATCCGGATCCAAAGGCTCAAGTTCACAAGCCCAGCAAATACGAGTGGAAAACAACCACCAAGATCCCAGGCTCGCCGTGGAAGACGGCGAGCTCGCCTCGAAACTAAAGAGTTGGAAGATCGCTAAGGCAATGGGCAACATGAAGGCAAAAGGAAAGGGCCCTTGCCTTAGAAATGACGGCAAGGAGATGTGCCACTCCTGGCGAGCAAAAGGCTTCTGTTACGACAGCTGTAAGCTCAAGTATGACCACAAAGAGTCCCAAGGCGATGAAGACGACCGGTTCTGGGACTGGTGCCAGGAGGCCTATGGGCCACAATGAAGAGGGGGCAGGCAGCCTGCTCCCCGTGCCGCTGCTGTGCCACTGCCCCCACCTAAGCCTCTGGATTCGATGGTGACAGACACAGGAGCAAAGAAAAGACGAGCAACCACATGCAACAGGGAGGCAAGCGCGCTCCCCTGTGATATAGGTAAGAATCATAGTAACACGGTTGCACACTACAATACACATCCCCCGGAGAGCCGAGACTCAGAGGAGGAACTTAACGAGGAGCCTCGCAGTGCTCCATGCCCACGGGACGATCCGGAGATAGCCCGCTCGTCCCCCCACACCACGGTAAGAGGGACCGAGCTCCCAGCCGTCACTGAGACTAACGGGAACGGGCCCCACAAGCTACGGAGGACTCCGACCTCCCTCGCCGCACAGTCTGGCCCTAGACCGTATCCAAGGGACAGGCTGGACCACCACGTGGAACAGGCCACAGCGGCTTTCTTACGGGCCCCAAGCTGGGGGGACTTTGTTCGCTCAGTGCGGGGCCGGGGAGACCTACACCC